TTTGGGGATGCCTCGCATTGACTTTGGTTAAAAATCGTGAAAGCGTACGCCTTATGTTAGAACAAGACAATAGGAAGTGGCTAGGCGGACTCGTAGTACCAGTTTACCTATCCAGACGAGCACGGCTACCTACTGGTCCACCACGGATCAGGGTCAAATATGACGTTCGCACTTTCAATCGCGACCCCCTTTGTGTTGCCCTTTAAGGGCAGGGTCAACCGTCACGTTCGAACATTTTCAGGGTTTTTGCGACCCCCTTTTCTCAAGGGGGTCACCCCCTTATCTCAAGGGGGTCCAGTTGCGACCCCCTCTTAGGTAATGGAAGTGCCGAATGTGCTGACTAAATGTTAAGTGAAATATTTATTTCACTCATCACTTTCACTCATTTTACTTCAAAGACAGTGAACTAAAACCTTTTAAAGACAATGAACTTCCATGACATAGAACAAAACATTTGAATATTGAATTCTTCACTGGCATTTGAATTGAATTCTTTTCAAAAAATCATTGAATTTTTTTCAAAAATTCAATGATTTTTTGAAAAAAATTCAATTCAAATGTTCAGTAAAGAATTCAATATTCAAATGTTGTGTTCGTAAGTTCGTAAGTTCATTGTTTTCAAATGGACAATGAACTTCCATGAAATATGAACAGAACATTTGAATATTGAGATCTTCACTGAAATTTGAATTGAATTGTTTTCAAAAAATCATTGAATTTCTGAAAAAAATTCAATATTTTTTTCATGTTGCCCAAAACTTCAAACTTCATGCTTCCGAAAGAATCACAAGAGCAGTTCAAGGGAGTAAATCAAAGAGAGTTACGTTCTCCATCAATGCATCTCCTAAGATGAGCCCCAAGAAAAGGAGCAAGAATCACACAGGGCACTGGCTAATGAAAGCTATTTTTTATGGTTAGCCTCGCGAGATCAAAATTTTTGTTCGCTCACAATCACGCCAAAATGAGGATGAAAGCGAAATGTGTAAGACCAAATGGAGGGATATCCAACAAGTAACATGAAGACTGACGAACTTCTGCTCAAACAGCTGAAAAAAGAGGAAGGATTAAAGAAGAGTAGGACTGACATGATTGCGTCAGAAACCGCCGCAGAAAGCGTTTGCGTTGCGGCGTCAACCTTGGAGCGCGGCAGGTATCACCCGGACGCTGGAAAACTGGGACGCGGCGAAGAAAAAGTTTTAGGAGAGTGTAACTTTCTTGAGACGTATTTGTTTCACTTATTGAGGTAGGTTTAAACTGTGCCTGAGGTGGCTTTACAGAAAATTGCAAGGATGACCTAACTCTCCCAAAAAGTTATTCCTAGTCAGGGACAGCGGCGAAACCCAAAATTCTGAGAAGGCGCACCTCCAACTTTGAGAGCTCATAAAATCTTTCGTATGCGACATCTTGGAAATTTGTGAAAAGTTTTAGAAACTTCAAATATTTCTCTAACAAAAGATTATAAAAAGTTAAGTGATTGTCCCCTTTTTCAAAAATTTGCCCCGTTCGAACAGTTCCCGTGCAAAACCGAGTTTTTAAGCTTTCAGCGACTATAACTCACTTCATTTTGATTGCTGTGTTTCCCTCTTTCCATGGGGTGAAAGAGCAGGTTTTGCTCTTTCTAATAAGCCCTAAACCATTTTTCAAAGTTCATTTTTCGAGAAAATCCCACGTTCGAACATTTGGATCCCATAGGTTTTTGAGCAGCACATGCGAGGTTTCGAGCTTTCAGCAATAATAACTTCCTTCAAAGAGCATGTTGGAAAGAGGCGAAGACATTTTTGAAGACCGCGAGGTTTCTTCTTTCTTATGTGTTTCACGATTTTGTGGAAGAACCGTCCGTAGAAAAGTAGGTTCCCGAAGAAGTTCAATTTCAGCCACAAGAAGTCAAACTTTTCATGGAGATGCATTCAACTGTTCTCTATTCCTCAAGGAAAACACCGTAATTTGCCCAAAACTGTCTCTCTGTGCATAATTAATCGAATCTAATGCGGTCTGCACAAACAATTCTTGCCCTCGGATACGCCACGCACGCGCCTGTGGCTGACAGTCCTCGAAATTGCGACCCCCTTCCGACCAAAATGCGACCCCTTCGTTCGAACAGTTCGAACAGACGGTTGACCCTGCCTTTAAGGGTGGTTCGATGGATATCACACTCCCGTCCCCCACCACCATGAGTCTCAGGACACTCCCCCAATATGATACTCTTCTCCTTACTTTCCTTACTTCGACCACCACTCTCACTATTATGACTGTTCCCATAGTATTTGAATCTGAGAACAGTTGAAACAGCCCAACTCTGCTCAAATCCTCCAAAACGGCCACCGAGCAGGAATGATACGTGTACAATAAAACGGCAAATTTTCTCTACTGCCTCCAATCCTTGCCTAGCCTGCCATATCAGTATACAAAATGAGTCGTGCTGGCCAACGAATCCTTCACAACAATTAACCCCCTGACTAAACGGATCACCGATTTCTCAACAAGAGTAGCTAAAGACCCACTCAACCTGTGAATGCGACCTTTCCTCTTATTCCCCAAGCTCGAAACAATGCAACCCCGCTATCGAAAAGTCGCAGACCACGCACGGTTGACCCTGCCACGGATGGCTTTTATGGCTTGTTTGAGCGGGATCAACGGAAGTGTGTTCCCTTTAAAAAAAAGGTATAGTGCTATATGATTGAAAATTTTTGGATCATTTGAAATTTTTGGGCTTGCAGCGTTCAACAGAGCTGTCAGGCTGCAGAGATGTCTCGAACGATTTTTCCTTCATAGGTGACGGCTAAATGCCCCATTTTGAAATGTTCGTTCTAGTATCTGGAACTATCCGAGAAACGTGTGAGACTACTGGGTTTGTGGGGCACAGGCAAAAATTCCGTGACCATCATTATCGTGGAAGAGTTATCGTTGAAGTGTTCGCAAAAGCAAAGTGTGGCTTTGACGCGACGGCTGGGCACGTGCTTTGAGCCGACGAGGCGAAAAATCTGCGGTATGTGAGGAATCTCGCGGGGACCGCGAGGCGCCCACGAGAAAAAACCCAAGGACACCGAAAACGCGTCCCTGTCGCCGAAGACGACTCCACCCCATTCCACAGCAAATATTCGACGTAGCTATACCTCCCCCTCCAATCATTCCATTACCAGCCGTTTTATCATGATGTTTGCCATACTCTCGCCGATACAAGAGTAAGTTGCTTTTCTATTCCTCATGATTTTTATAATGTGAGATGATTAGAAGAAAAGTGGAGTAGAAAAGGAGGAAGATGTTGCGAAAGCTGCCATAAGGAGCGTGGGACTTCTCTGTTTCCCGTGAGGGTCGGGTGGAATCAGATCAAGCAATCAGTTCGACGCGTTGATGCAAAGTACACGTGAATTCACAATCACGACTGCGAAATCAGAGACTCACGCGATCAGTTTAGCTGGCTGGACGATGAATATGATTGTCAAGCACGTGATCGTCGGCTAGTGACTGCATCATACCGTAGCAGGTCTCTCCTGCGCTCTTCTTAGTTCTTATTACGCTTATGGGGATGCGATTAATATTGGCAGTCACGTTTGACATTTGAGGTGTTCACTGATTGGCTTCAGTGTGCTTCTTCGAGGAATTCTCTCTTAGATCATTTTTATTTCGCGAAATTTGTTTCATCACGATAACACTATCCTACTTTTGACTAGTTCCCAGACCGTTTTGAAAAGCTTTGAGGCGGAAATCGCTGCACCTTCAATTCCTTAAAAGCTATGAGTCAACATTTAGACAACATTAATTTGAAAATTGCTCTAATGCTGCTAGATATCGGCCAAAATGTTGTGTCTCGCTAACCTAAAGCAGCAGATGCGTGTCTCCGAGATCACAAGAGTTTTAAGGCCGATGGCGGCCTTATCATGCAGTTCCTATTCAAGTCATCTCTCACTTATTCTGAGTTTCTTCCCTCTGCTCTGCTCGATCTGTGCCAAAACATCATTTTGTCGGGACCAACAAATGATTTTCAATTGAATATGGAGTTGCAAGTGAAGTCATCTGTCTACAATCTCTATATCTTGTATTTTTGTGTCTTCGCCTGTTACCTTCCATTTATCTATTATGAACGAGCTGAGTTCCAGTTCGAGATACAGCCTGAATAGGGTCGTTTCTTTTTTTTTTTTTCTTGGATTGCGCACATGTTCTCTTCTTGGTTTTCCAGTCAAATGCAACGAGCAAAAACCTAGCAGAACACTGCTCTTCTTCTTCTTCTTCTTCTTTCTTCTTCTTCTCCCTAGTGTTAGTCCCGCGCAGTCGCAGGGTCCGCTATAGCAGAACATTGTTCTAAAGCCCAAATTTGCTATAATACTCTGGCCAACCTGTTTTTTCATCACCGCGTCCGTCCTTTCCTTTCGAAAATTGGAGAGTGAGACTGAGACTCAGTTTATAGATTACCCCATCACCACCAATGTTCTTTTCATCGCGCTGGCATGATGAGCTTAATACTTAAGATTAAAGGAATGCTCTACCTGTCAGCCACTGTAGTAAAGCTTTCATTTTGAAAAACTTAGCATTTCTGAGTTTTGGTGAGCATTTTTACGTTTTTGTGCATGGTTATCACCTAGTCGCAGTTATACCCACCTTATCTGCGAAGGATTACCTTCCTGTTGTTATAAAGTTGGCCAAAACTTCTCTGTAGCCAATATTAGAGGCCAGCGCTGCACAAGTCCCAAGACAGTTATGAATTGCGGGTGTAGTAATTTGAATAGGACTATTCATGCTGCCAATTTGAGACTGTGCGTCTTTTACTCAGCATCACAGCCCCACTTCCGGCATTTCGTTCCCTTCACCTTATGGTTAGTTACGTCATTCTCATCCATGGTCCCATGTATCATCTTGGAAGCGAACCTTTTCACGTTAAATGGACCTGTTTTTGTGGTGCACCGTTTGTAAATCCTTCTCAGCTACGTTCTCTGGGAGAAAATAGCCAGATTGGGTGAAAACATGGAACATAGGAATATTGTGGGGACAATGGAAAGTTCAACTCCCTTTTTTGTAACCGTGAAAGTATAAAGATATTCACTTCCACCTGATGTCAGGAGTGCGTGGAGATTCGGTAAATATCAAAGCAAAGTCACAGAACTTCAATTTTTCATCATTCTTCAAGCTTCCATTGCTCTCGAGGCAATGAGAAGGGGAAGAAAGTTGGGTATTAAGTAGTCGAAGAGTGTGAGCTGTTGACCCATCACAAACCGAGTTACGGGAATTTACTTTTATCTACTTGGTTGTTTGTTTATTTACTTATTCTCCTTCGTGTTTACGTGTGATCTGAAACTTATCAGATTCTTGCACAACAGTAATCTTATACCATCTCATGCTGTTTTGTAATGAGCACTTCTGAAGCTGCAGTCCCGGCAAGTGATTCATAGTCTAAATTCATCTCTGTGTTTCATTCTCATAGTGGATTACGTCCTGAATGGGGATGTTCCATGATCCTTCGGAGCGCGTCACGCTATCAAAATGTAATAGTAACCTTAGCGATGAAGCGTTTCAAACTCAATGGAGGTTCGCTTTTGTAGGTGAGTATGCCGGGAATCATCGCTTTTGTCTTCTCATAGTAATTCCTTTTTTATCATTTATTCACTTTCAAGCTCTCAGATCGTTAGTATTTGCTGAACCACTTGCTGCCCCTTGTTAGAGTCAAACTCGAAAACTCATCGGGAAAGTTATTTGGGTATCTGAAAAATTCACTTGCTTTGGGCGGTATCGTCTCAGCAACTGCTAAATAATTCGAGTGAATAGGATGACGCCCACTATTTGCAATCGATTGATGGACTGTTTGGCCACGTTTAATTCTTGGTAGAAGACTGTTTGTGAAGAGTTTGAACAGGTCTCGGTCAGGGTCAGCGGGTTACGGAGAGAGGGGGACTCGCTCACCCCCGTTTTGCCCGCTTGTTCCCCTTGAAAAACAACCCGCTTATCGGCGATCATTGAACGACACTCACTTCTATGATGCCAAAACCAATAGCAGTCTCACAATCATCATATTGAACTTTTGCGCAAATTTCCAAAACATGCCCTTAGCTTTGCGTGGGCTTCAGACGCATGACGTCGTTGGTCACACTTTTAAATTCGTCACAGCGTCATCACCGTCGAAGGCGTATTCTAATTATGCTGCGGTGAAATCATTACGCAGAAATGCATAGAATGGCTGACGACATTCGAAAACTATGGAAAATACGCAACAAACGATTACCCTGAAATTCGCAGTATTCCTCATATGTCCCAAGTGTTTTTCGCCTGTAAGTTCTCCGGAAAAAATTGGTGGAGATGACATGAACAGGTTGGCTCGGGCACTCCCTCAGCGTGTTTGCTGCATTGGAAAGCCCAAAACGGACACTGCCCATGTCACACTTCAGCGCTTTTTTCGTCGCAAAGATTGACGTCATTGGGGTCTTACAGCTAAACTTTCCCCCCCCCCCACTCTATAAGTAGACGCATGCCCTCCTTCACTGCCCTCACCGCCTTCAGAATATGACGTCGTCTTTTAGGATGGAGGAGACCCACCGTAAATGGTCCAACCTGGCTTATTTCTTGAATCGATTTACTGTTCGATAGTTTTCTAGAGACATCAGCTTGGACTATGCGAACCCCTTCGGAACCTACTTTTCAGAAAACTTAATGGTACAAAGGGGCCGGGTAAGCTCATTCTCCATGTTTTTGGGGCAGTTTTTCTGATGCCCTCCACGTATAGGGCTCATATAATTTTTTTCTGAAATGATATTTACTTTTCAAATTTAAAGGCACGAGTCGGGATTGAATTGATGCGTTATTTTGTTCAAACATTAGGCAAGGGGTGCAATGAGGAACATTAGTGAGGAGAAAAAGCAAAAAGCACCATAGAAAACACTAAATTTCCCTTAGGAGGCCGGCCGTAGTACGACGGAGAGACACAGCGCTGCGAGGAGAGGGAGAACGCGAGATAGTACGTCGTACGCGAGAGGACGCAGAGACCACGTATGCCGTGGTTGATAACGCTGGCAGCACGGCAGCACACAAGGCAAGGCCTTAGCGCCATTGCCTCGCACTTTTGAGTCGCGACAGTGTCCTGCCTCCTGCCCTTGGGACCCCTCTTCCTCACTCTAGAAGGGACTGGCTCTTGGGACCTAATCCCGACTTGTGGCTTTAAGTTGGAAGCATTCGGTTCAGATTCAGCAAATTCTGATCAAATCTATTTGAATGGTCGTGTTGATCCTATCCCGCCGCAGTCGTGATTTCTTTATTTGGTGCATTTCCTTGCTGCAAAACAAATCTCGACCATGAATGGATGATAACATAAATTCACAACTATTCTTCATTAACTATTCTTCATTTTGAGGGATCCCCCGATCTGCTGTACGTGTGACATGGCCTGACTGTAAGCTTTATCGCAGAAGGAGATTGAAGAAGATTGCCTGCAATTCAGTCAGTGACTTAAAAATGGAGCAAGAAATGCAAGATGACCCGTGGTCTCGCAAAGGGTCCGCTGGAGCCCACCCTGTGAGGTGCATTCTTTGGATACAGAGCATATGTATATGAGAACTGCAGAATCTGGAGAAGCGTGTTGCGTGCTCATTATTGTTGTTTTACAGAACAGGTGTGAGCTGGCAATGTCGCGACTACTACTTAGCGATTAATCTCCCCGCAGGCAAGCGCCAGCTCGCAGGAAGTTTCCGTGGTCAAGCATCTTATGAGGTGCCTCCAGGGAAAGAACCTTCTTCGATGCTCTGGATACTGAGTGGAATATGGCGCAGACTATCTCAAAGCGATAGAACTTGAGAAAAAGACATCAGGCAGAGCTGAGCTTGAGTCAGTACACCTAGCCGTCAGCTCAGTTTTGATACTAGCTGAGAACTCAATCTAGAAAAACGAAGGAACTGAGCGCTACAGCAATTGAAATAATTTCAAGATCTGGCGGTTTACTAGCTATCAAGGGAAACTTTCGTAGGAGCTCATTATTCACCAAGCTATGTAGAACTGATCCAATTGACACCTCACAGAGAATCACAGCTGCCAAATGGTCGGGCATTTGTTGAGGAATTCGTCCACTGAGCCAGATTTGAGGTTCGATGTCATGGAAACTGAATGGAATCATGTAGAAAGACCACAAATATGCATCCAAGCTCAGTGAAAACCCTTTCTTAGTAAACAAGCAGGTAAACAAAGGTTGATCTCAAGTTGTTGAGGCTAGGACTGGGACTGTGGAAGGGTCGTTATGAAGCTAATGCAAATAGGTAAACTAATGCAGAGTCGATATCTGAAGGTAGCAAGAATTTGTCAACCTTCTTTGTAGTTGCTTTAAGTGGGCCTAGTCCACCTGGTTCCTGCAATCCCTGTCCGTGTCAGGTGAAAAGAAGTGGCTTTTAACCATAAGAACAAGAGCTGAACGGGTGGTTGTACGGATTTCTCAGCCGACTGGTCGGCCGGTGGACGTGTGGTGTACGTGTTTTCGGGATAGTTTTGCGTTGTGTAACAAAGCCGAGAAATGTCTGGAATGCCTTCAGAGAGCGATGGCGTTCGCTCATCGACAAGCCGAGCAGCGCAC